TGATTCAGTTATCACAAAACCTTAATCCCAGCAGCACATACTTTAGATCCAGCCTCCTCTGAAAAGCCCCACATATACCCACATGAGACTTTGGGGGACTCCTAGACACAAGCTATAACAGATGTAAATTAAGTCATTTCTTTCCTGCCCCACATCACTCCACAGGTCATTCTCCTGAGAAGAGTTCATGTGACTTTGTTTCTCATTACTCATGCCTCTTTCCCATCCTTCTGTCACCACCTCCACACTTAGGCTGTAATGATAGAGCATATGTTATTGCCTCTAGGAACCTTGTTCTTCATATTTAGTTTCTAAGGGACTCAGCAGGGGATCAAGGTCTTCATCTTATGCAAGAGGAGGGCACAGAGATGGGGTGAGTGCTAAACCCACCCTAGTGGGACTATCTTGCTTACAATATAAGGGAGGAAAAGAGGCTTGCCCCCCACCTTACTCTTAGCACTTTTGCTGTCTTCTACCACCTTGGACAGTTGCCCTTCAACCATACCACCCTGTCTTGGAGCTAGCTGATTATGGACTGCAACCTCCACAAACTGTAAGCACAATAAACTTTTCCTTCCTTAATTTTGAATGTTGGGTATTTTGTCTGAGCAATGAGAGAAAAGTAATAAAGACAGAATTTGGTACCAGGAGTGGGGTCATTGCAACTATACCTGATCATGAGGCTCAAGAGCTTTTGGGAATGGCTTATAAGAAGAGTTTAGAAAGGTTTAGAGATATTGCTTGAATGAGTAGAGCTGGAATACCTTGGCTGTTCTCCCTGGGAGATTCTGGTCAGAGCTCAGAAGACCAGAAAACTGGTAAAGATCAGGCTCAGGAGGTTTCTGCTGGGAAAAATGACTGCATTGGTTCCTAGACTCCAAATGATGTGTGTTATGGCTTGGTATAAAGTTTGACTACATTTTGCTAATGTGCAGAGACTTTGCCTGAGACTAACATTTAGGGCAATGGACTAATAATCTGGCAGAAGAAATTTCAGTCAAATGTGGAGGTTGTGGCATGGTTATTGTTGGGAAATTTTAGCCAGATTTATGTTGAGAATCAAGAGCAGAGATCCCAGTAGAATGTTTTAAAATGTTGTGAGATTGGCCAGAAGGTAAGCTCCAGTAAAGCTGTGTACTGCAAAGATAGAACAGAAGAAATCTGGACTTCTGAGAAGGAACAGGAGAATTTAAAAATGGCTTGACAGCATCACAAGAAGCAGCAAATCTCTACCTGTGGCAATCTTGAAACTGCAAACATAAAAGATTTTGCTTTCAGTAGAAAACTACAGAGCACCATGTTCAAGAATGCTGACAGAGAATTTTCTCCTCAGAATTGGATTCAAAGTACCCAGTGATCCAGCCTCTTACCCCTAGAGCCAAGAGCGAGCTGGCTACTGATCCAGCTGGCAGAAGACTGTAGTGTCATCCACATGGTGCTGGTTTTAGTTGCAAGCAGAATGTGAGAGTTGTGGAGTTAAGAAAGCTTCCACCCAGATTTCAGAAGGCCTGAGAGGCAAGTCAGTGTACTCCAGAAAGGGCAGTATGTAAAGATGTGAGGGTGAAGACAAAGGTGAAGTGGAGACCTCAGAAATTTGGAAAAGCCAGGAATATGGATCATCTGTGAAAACCTTCAAGGAAGGAGCAGAGCAGGACAAAGACAGAAGCCATCAGAAGTGCTGTTCCATAGGGGTGGAGCCACTTAAGCCCTTTGGGGCTCACAGTTTGCTACAGATTGCCTAAGATGCTGCACAGGGAATTACAGGACATAGTGTTAGCCGTGCTGGATTTTTTACTTGCTTTGGTCACAATCCTTTATATCCCCCTGTTTGTAACTTTTGGAATGAAATGTTTATCTTATGTCATTGAAAGTTGGAATTATCTAACTTTTCATTTGTAGAGGAGCTTGCAGCTGTTTTCCTTACATCTTGGAGGAAAATTGGGACTTGGGCTTTTTGGCAATGCTGAAACTGTTACGACTTTGGTAACTCTTGCAGATGAACTAAATGTCTTTTGCATGAAGGGATTTACACGAGCCTTTGAAGAGGGGAAAAGGAAAAATGTTACTGTTCTAATGTAATATAACATTGATAGATTTAATACTAGTTCTTAAGGATGGTTAAACTTGTGTTCAAATTGTAAAATTATAAGAATAAGCATGCTTTTGCATCTGGAAACTGGTTTAAAGAAATGTGTCTGGTTGCCAAGTTAACAAGGGGTGGATTGTAATGGTTGATAAAACGTGTCAACTGGAGAACTTTAGAAGTTTAACTAAGGGACTCAGCAGAAGACCAGGGTCCTCACTTTGTAAATATCCTCATCCTGTGCAAGAGGAGAGCATGGACATGGTGTGAGTGCTACACCTATCCTATGGGGTAAGCCCGTGTACAGTAAAAGGGAGGAAAAGAAGTTTTCCCCACCCCTACTTTTGCTCTTGTTGCTCTTATTGTCTTCTCCCACCTTGAACAGTTGCTTCTCAGTCATGCCACTCTGCCTTGGGGCCAGCTGATTACAGACTGAAACCTCCACAAACTGTAAGCAAAGTAAACCTTTCCTTCCTTAGTTTTGGGTATCATGTGTTTTGTCTCAGCAGTGAAAGAAAAGTAATAAGACAGCTACTGACGGGGCTGGGGATTTAGCTCAGCAGCAAAAGCGTCTGCCTGGCAAACGCAAGGTCGTGAGTTCGGTTCCCGGTACCGGAGAAAAACCAAAAAACCAGACAGCTACTGACAAATTTTTTTTTTTTTTGCTCTTGACAAAATTTAGATATTATTTATTTATTGCTTGTTCAGTGGTTTTGGTGTTTCTCTTTAGAATACATTGTGAAAGAATTGACATATGGACATAGAGATCTTGGCCAAATTTTGTACCTGTCATTGGAAGAGCATTTCCTGTACTCTGTCCCCACTCACCCTCCACTTTCACCACCTCTTCAAACTCTCACACTTTCTGGATCAAAAATACTCTAAGCTTCATCAAAATACTTCAGTTGTTACTTTTTTTGCCCTCAGCTGGACAGTACTTTGATTGTATCATGTTCAATTTCTCTGAATGTAGTGCTTTCAGAACTATTCTTTAATTAGTAAATATTACCCATCCTTCAGGTTGTAATCAAATTACACTTTCTTAATGAGAATCTGCTCCCCTAATTTCTATTTTCTCCTCCTACTATGGCCAAATTAATCATTCCTCTGTTTGCTATCATCACTGTTTAACTCTGTCTAGAGTGGTGCTCAGATTGTGGGAGCTCATCTTGGCACATGTCTCTGGGTTTAGGAAGGGAAGAGATCGAGAGATCCTGTATTGTGTACATTATATTCCAGGCACTCATTTTGACCTTCTTCTAGCTTTCTTCAAACACAAATGCCTCTTTCTGGTCACAACCATTTTAAATGTGAAAAGAAAAGTAATCAAGGATGGGGGACAGTGTATGTTCATGACCACACAGTGGCATGTTCTTTCAAAATGTTTTTAAATTGTCAGTTTCAGATAAGATTTTGTTCCTTTCCAACTTCCAGAAAAGTCATATCTAAACCTCGAATAATGTAATTGTTATGTTGGAGCATTAAACATCACCATAGAATCACTGCTATCTGTGTGCTCTGTGCACTATCTCATTATTTTCAATTCTGACATACTTGGCACTTAAGGGTTCTATAGCCCCTGGTGATACAATGTGGGAAGAGGTCAGAGATCAAATACAGCTTGCTCAGGGAAATGAAGAGGATCATGCTCCTCCCCTTGGCTTCCTCCACTCTTCTGCACTTCACCAACCCAGCCAAGAAACATTATCAGAAGACTTTAAATGTAGTTGAAAGTTTGGTTCTGTCATTAAAAACATAGTTCACGAAGTGAATATCTTCTTATAAGGGGCTTTTCAAACTTCTATTTTTTTCCACTTTCTAGAGCTCTAAAAATGGTCATTGATCTTAAGTGTGTTAATATACTTTTCCTTTTTGGAGTTATGCAAAGAATGTAATAATTTTGTATTCTTTTCAGTACACAGAAAGGTGGGTGGGAAGATATGTGAGCAATCCTTTCTGGGGGAGATTTAAAAAATAAGTGAGAACTGTTCTGAAATTTTAAATTATAAAGTTATTTGCTTAAAATAGATTGCAATCATGTTGTCCAACAAGGGAGTTGGAGATTCAGGGCTATGTATAACCATAGTGTAAAGTAAGAGAGAAAGAACAGGGAAAATATGATTTAGCCGTTAATTATTGTTTCTTAAAATGCTGAACTTAGAGCTATAAATTATGCACTGCTTTTCTCACAGAATCCCAACTTCCTCATGCTAGGTGGTGAGGGAGAGGTCAGGAACTGTCAAGAATTTTAGGTGTAAGTTATGTTACCACTGCAGCACAGGAAAGGGATGAATGCTTACCCACAGCTACTGCTAGGGCTGCGATTTCTCACTTCTTTGGGGTGATGAAAATCACCTCTCAGTCTGACAAACCTAAGTGTACCCCACGTGCACTGAAATCACTGTGTCAAAGCTACTTAAAAGCCTGATATCCTTCCTTGTAGACCTGAAGGGACTTTCTGATGCACTGTGTCCGTTAATGTCTTTCTGAACCACAAAGTGAGTTATGATCACATTAAACACAGTAGAGGAATAATGTTCCTTTTCCTTTCAAATATGTAATCATCCTTGAAGCCTTTTAAAACGAAAGCCCCCCCACTCCCGCCTTTAATAACAAACATTTCTCTGGCATTTCGTTTTCTTTTGCACTCACACTGCCATATGACACCCTATCAGTCCTTCTGCTTTCTTCAGGAAATTAAGCTACAGAGCCTGTGTAGCAAACAATAAAATAGCTACTTTGTAAGGAAGGCAAAGAAAGAGGTGCTTTGCTCCTCTCCCCACGACTCCCCACCAGCGCCCCATCACAACTTCAGCGTTTCCTACCCCACTGGTGACGGCCCCACTCCCACCTCCACCCCTCCCGCAGCGGATCTGTGCACCAGAAACGCCTGGCGCCGCGCGCTGACCTGCTCCGCTTTCCGCGCGCTTCCGATGGCACTAGGACCCGGAGACGTCCCTGAGCGAGGTTCGCGGAGAGGCAGCCAGACTCCTCCTCATCTCCAGTGTCAAACTTGACATCAGCCTGCGAGCGGAGCATGGTAACTTCTCCCGCAATCGGAAGGCTCCCTCACATCAGTGGCATGCTTCGTGGAGATATGCTCCTCTCACTGCCCTCTGCACCGGCAACATGGACTGTCACCTCTCCGCCCTCCTCCTGCTCGGCTCCTCTCTTCTCGGCTGCCTCGGGGAACTGATGCTCCAGCCCTCCAATGAAGGTAAGCCAGGTACCGGTACCGGCGCGGGTCCCGGCCCGGCCAGCGCTGCGCGGAGCGCGTTCTCTCCGCAGCCTTTCCGCGTGCGGTGCCTCCGAGGGGCGCAGTGTGCGCGGAGGGTGAACCAAAGATGAGCTTGTATTTTCCGCTGTCTTCTAAGGCACTTTGGGAGATGATTTTGGATTGTCACAACCTTCAGAGTGTGTTTTTAATCTTACACCAATTCAGGCAATTACCTTGTTTGCCAATTTGAAGCAGAAAGAAAGAAAATCCTCCAGTTTTACAACCCAGTATGTTAATTGCCAAATAGCCAAGGCAGTATTTTATTTTCTAATTATGACCATGTGGTACTCAGAAGTTTAAAAGCAAATTCAATCCTTCCTTCTAGATTCTGTAGTATGTTTAAAGATAATGACAGGTTGTTCCTACTTAGGATCATGAAATTTGTGAATGAACTAAAGCAAACTCTGTTGAAGCAGAGGGGTGCGTGTGAGTGCGTGTGTGTGTGTGTGTGTGTGTGTGTGTGTGTGTGTGTGTGCGCGCGCGCGCGCGCGCGCAACGGCTGTCCTGAAGTGATGGGTATCCCGCCAGGCCATAGTTTGCTCTGTAGTACAGGTTCGAATGAGCGGCATGTGCCACATTAATATAAGTAATATTTGCAGGAATTTACAATAAGCTTAATTTGGATTCTTTTTGTTTAATGGCTTCTATACAAATAGAATATATTTAATCATGAATGAATAACTCCTGGATAGATATAGTAAATAACTGAAAAGCAAATTAAGAAAAAGTGTTTATACACAGCAAATGGCATTTCCTCAGTGTCAAATTATTTATTTTCCTTGTAATGGGTATTCATTCTATTTCAATGTATTATTGTACAAGCCTAATGTTAAGGGTAATACTTTTTCTTATAGCATCGTATACGTAATAGATAAATCGCTTTTTCCCTGTATGCCTTCTGCACTCTATGCTCAATGATTTGTGAATACAATTACTAAGTCTTAATACAAACTTCTTTAAATAACTGATTGCATTAGAGCAACACTTACACCTTTGATTTCTTGTTAATGATTTTGAACTTATAACATTTATCAATTTATTTTGCAAGTTAGCAGAACTGAGCAATTGATGTACAAACACATTTAAGCATATATCATTCACTAAAAACAGATATTGTTGAGCCAATCCTGTTGCAGATTGTATACATTATTTTGAAAGTATGAGTTAAAACAAGATATTTATAAGCTATTTCATTAAAAATAAAAATTATTTCTCATATTTGGTGACCCACTTTCACTACTAGTAATTTAATTTTCTTTTTCCTTAGTCATTGCCTTTATCAATTTGGCAGATTTTATTAAATTTTTCTGTGTCTTACATCTATAGAGAAATTGAAAAATTTTTAAGGGTGAGGTTCAAGAAAATCATCTTGCTCACAAATGTGTTTTTTAACAAACAAAGTTAAAATGCTTATTGGAAAGTAGTAGTCATTTATCATAAATAAAAAGCAAGAATGTATACTTAACATATCAATAGTTCAACTTATTGTTTTAAAAATCTTTTTGTTTTTTGATCCTATTAAAGTATAAATAGTAACTAGAAAATAGTATTAAAATACCCACATTGCTGTGATAAATTGTATTTTTCAAATGGAATTTAGAAAAACTATGTAGATGGCTATTACTGAATTAATAATGCACAAGAATATAGCTGAGAGTCATTGCTTTGTGGAAAATAAAACATTTCAGTAAATTGCAAAAAATGACTCCTCAATCTTATTCACATCCATGTAAAATTAATGAGTATTAATTTAATGAAACAAGAATGATCAAGTGTTGATTGCTTTTAAGGCACACCCTAGCATGTCTGTATATAATTACACAGTCAGGTGTACATTAATAATATGTGACAAGGAAGAGAAATTTACTCAGAAAACTAATATAGTTACATTTAATTTCCCTGAATAAAAGTTTATCTATTGTTCATGGGTTTATTGTTTCCTGAATGCATCCTATGGGTGTCTCCTTTCCCTTCTGAACTCATCAAGGGAAGCTTTAAACCAAATTTTAAGTGAATGATTTAAATTAGGTAATCTTATGAGTGAGGCGTAAATGTTAATCTAATACCTTGGCTCACAGTAGTTGAGTTCACTAATATGAAAATCATAAATAGCAAGAATATACCAAGATTTCATGCAATTCTTATAACAAAGTAATTTGAAGACAAAGCAATGCTCCTTACAGTTCACTAATGGGGTTAAATGATAAAATGAGTCACATTAATGTAGTTATAATGTAATTATACATTTATAATGTAATTATACATTTTTTGAAATTTAACATAGAAAATACAGATTCACTTTTAAAATATATTCAAATTTGTGTTTCAATACTAAAGAAAATTGACTAGAGATTTACTAGTGTATATTTTCTAAAATATATTCTCTAGTCTATTATAATATCAGACATAACAGAAATAAAAGAACAAAAGTAGACCACTGGGTTGATTGACAAAAAGTTATCATTGTGAATTTTTTTTTAAGTCTGAGATTTGATCATTACTATCAATATCAAAAGATCATGAGTTCCTGGTAAGAAAAATAAATGAATTTTCCATTTAGTAATCTAAATGCAATGGCTGTCTAATATGCTTTAAGGAGAATGACTTGAGGTGATACTGTTATTGTCTTCAAAATGACAATATGATAATAGACATTCCTAATTACAATGATCGCTACATAAATAATTGGCCTGTATACTTAAACAGAACTTTATAAAAACTTTTTAAAATCTCATCAAGTTTCTCTGTTCATATAATAAAAGCCTTCTAATAGGAAATCAACTACTTTAAATTGCAAAATTTGAATGTTGTGCCATATTTTTGTCAGAAAACATTGTATGTTTGCTCCCTGTGCCCATCAGATAGGTTATAATAATGGTAAATAGAAAGAACTTCAGAAAGAAGTTAAAATATTATAAAGTATTCATTCTTATTAGCTTGGTCTTCTTTAGAATTGGACCAAATACTTTCTTTAAACACATTAATACATTTCAAGCCATCTGAAGCAGAATGCTCTGCTTCTACATCAGTATTTACTACAGCACACATTTTTCATCCAAAAATATTCACAGATCAGATGTAACATTCACCCATAGAACTCATCACTTTGAAAATCTCAGTGTTCAAAGTACAACTGAATGAAATTAAATCTATATATTTATATACTACTTATTTTGAAAGAATTTCTTCCTTTTGGAGTGGGTGAGATACTGTTTCTCCAAAATGCATTTCCTTGAACATAAATCTTCTAAGTACTTGGGGAGACTATGTGATTAGTTAAAGCTTAAGGTAAAACTTACAGAAGAACACTATACGTTTCCCTTTGGGTAGTAGGCAAGTGTTAAAAACAATATGTATTTAACGGGATTTCCTTTTTAAAAATCTGAATTGGCACCACTTCTCATATAGATAAGCATCAAATAAAAGGCTACTAAAATTAAAATATTAATAATGAACTATGCTATCATCTTTATAGGGCTTTAAAAATGTTTTCATTTGCTTTTAATAGCACTTTTTCATGCTAGATGAAATACTTGAATGCATTATACATTTTTGTAATTTAATAGTTCTCCTAAAAGCTTGCCCTTACACCCCCCCACCACCACACTTATAACTGTGCTCTTTGCCTGGAGGTAGGAGAAACCTTAATTTCACTATTTTATAACCCACAACAGTTAACACTTGACCTAGGTCATTAACAGGATTATCAGCAAATTTGTTTAAGCTTTTACTGACAATCTGAATTGCTATGATAATATTTTGATTGTGCTGAAAAGAAACTTCTTGTAACCTCTCAAAATCTATCATGAAATTAATTTATTCTGAATCAGTATCTTCCTTAAAATATTGATAAATATTAATTCAACTGGGGAAATATTCACTTTGATACCTCATTCTCATTTTTGTTTCACACGCCATATCATTCTAGTCCTTGTCATAAATGAGCAATTATAAATATTTTAAATATTAAATGTTCTACCAATAACTTTAGGTTTTTAAACAGCTTTGCTATAACTATAAACATTTCACTTTTATGCATTTTTTCCTTTTCTAAAGTCCTAAAGTTGATATCTTTTTCTGCCCATTTTGAGGTAAAAAGTCAGTTGAATATATGTATAAACACAAGTGACTGGAGCTCTACAAGGGAAACTACATATAATAAAACACTACTGCTATGAATTAGGTCATGCCTATACTTTATAAAATAGTTAACTTTTCCCCAAGACATGGCAGAAATTGGGAGCAACAATAATAAATACTTAAAACCCAGTATGTATACAAATGTAAAATAAGATATCATAGACAACCATAACTTTAAGAAAGGTATTTATTAAACATTGTTTACTGTGTCTAGAATATTTCATGTGAGATTTCTGATTACTTGAATATAATTATGGCTTGCTCTTTTCTGATGTAAACAATTTATTGACTCAATAAATTTTTAAAGATCAGATTTAGTAAGGTTCTTCATTCTTCTTTGTATACTACCCATATTTGAATATTCAAATGTCTTTGTGCTCTTTAATGGTCTAATCACTTTTAATACGTTTTCACAAAGTTTTCTTTATAAAAACCCTAAACATTAAAATTGTTACATAAACTTGCAGTTTTCCGAAATAAAATATATGCAATATTTAAATAGCAAATAATCAGTTACATATGCAGAGGATTTTCAAAGGCAAAAACATATTTTCGCAGTATATTTGATTTACTAACTTCAGTGCAAATGGAAACAGTAAGAAATGTTCTTGAAAGTTACATTTTCCAAGTCATAAAATCTTCAAGAAAATATTAATAAAACTTTCCACAAATCATCAAAACTCGATAAGTTCTTACAGACATTCACTTACTAAGAAATCTGTGATGTGGACTACCTTTGATTTGAATCATTTTCCAATGATTTTGTTTGGCAAAATACTGGATGTAAGGGGGGAATTGTA